TTTTTTATTATAATTATTTTATTTATTTTATTTAGTATTTTAAATCCATTGTACATGCATACAATTGTATATATGTTAAGGGGGTCATTGTGTAATTCAACATTTCCAACATACAGGTTGAAACATGATCAGCAATAATATTAATTTATTTTAAAATAAAACAGTCTTACTTCAATAATTGTTCAGTTGGTGAAAATCAGATCCACCTGACCATGTGCTTTTCATTCCCTCAGCTTCTTTTTGTCATTTCTGTTAAGTTCTCCTTAAGAGAGTGTTCTGGAATTGCTCACAGGTCCATCATCCATGTTTTTTTTTTTTCAGTGTTTACACATCTCTCACTTGTCTTTTCCTACATTTGCAGTGTTTCAGCTCTGCTTCACATGTCAGGCAGATGTGCTGTCTCTTGCATTACAGTACAGAAGTAGGTGTAGCAGCTAGATGTCAATGGCACTGGGGGAGAAAGTGAGAGTAGATGCATGCATGCAAGGGCTGGGTTGGACCTGGGTGAAGTTTTATTTTCTAATGGTTGGGTAAGGGGCTGGGTTTGTGATGTCAGGCTGGAGGAAACAGATAAAACGTTTAGCGCGTTAGTTTGATCTGATGTGGAGAGCGCGTGCAGCGGGACTGAGCCTGGGAATATAGACACACACGGAGCGCAAGAGGACTCTCCGCACCATCTCAAGGTGATCCAAAGAGCCGTTTTCACTTGGACCAGCATGCCGAAAAGACAAATTTCCTTTCAGTGCCTCCACATTTTTGGATATTGATCCATATTTTGAGAAAATAAACTCTTTTAAGCGGACTTTCACAGCTCCCTGATATCTGAAACACTCAACTGTTAGAATAAATCTCGACAGATTTTTTATTTGACCGTTTTGGCGGTTTATTCGCAGAACGAAGCGTGACCGCGAGCATTTGGACGCGACCCATTGCGCGCCGGTGAAAGGTGGCAATCTCAAATAACCTTTATCCAGCGTTACATCTCTCCAAACAACCTTACACTGTACAGACAGCAAGCTATGTAAGTCTGCAACCAAACGCGGTATTATCGCTTTCATTCGACCACAATGAGGATACATTATTGCGCGCGTAAATGAACTGCAAGTGAATGACAATTAGACTTTTACGCAGTCATTGCACGCTAAAGAGGCAGCTTTGAGGAGATCCCTGAGACGCGAGCTGTTCTGTTTGAACCTGAACACCCAAAAAGCAACGAGGAACGAATTAAAGTAGAAAGTTTGCTGTCATTCACTCATTAATTCCGACATCCAGTTACATAAATGGTAAATTAAGTGAAAAACAGACTCTCCACCTTAATGCACTGACAATTTCGACTTCCCTTGTCATTACATTTTAATTTTTAAAAGACAATTAAGTAAAATAGAAACTTATTAACATTAACTCATTAACCTATTGTAAATTAAACACAATGTATGCTATCATTAATGAAGAAAAGGCACCCAAATCAATTTAAGCAAATTAACTATTAGCTCCCTTCCCAAGTGCAATTAAAAACAAAACAAACAAACAAACAGATGTCCACGCGTTGAAAGACACAGCTTCACCTCAATAAAATGATGTTTTTTAGACTACTGGCTATTATTCTTGCAGTATTTCACACATGGCCGCTAAACAGGGCTCAGCCAGATCATATCCAGAAGTATAAGCGGACACTGGCACAGAGAGCGGATCGAGCGCTTGCTGGAGAACAGTGCGGCTCAATCAGCGGCAAGCGGCTGCCGCGCTCCGCGGCGCAGCAGTACCCTCTAACGGGCGTCGCTGGGCGGTACACTCGCTTGATAGACTTACAAAGTAAAACGGTGAGGTCGTGTTCAGGTGAGTGCGACTCTAGTGGCATAGATGCGGTTGAGTTAACTAACTGGGATATTAATGAGAGGGAGATATTTGATGAACCCCAAGAAGAGACTTTCATATGGAAGAAAGAAGGCAAACGGTTACAGAGGGCCACTGATTCTGGCTCTAGAAAGTCCATATCAAAAGGACACCCTTTACAGACAGAACAGGGAGGTGAATTGACAGACAGCTTGTCCTCGCTAAGAAGGGTTGCAAGGAGGCTTCTGGAGTTCAAGAAAGAAGAAGTCCAAAACGATACACACCACACTGACTTCTCTACAGAAAATGAAGAGTATTCCGGGGAGCAAGAGGGACTGCAGAGCACTGCTGGGGAGCTGTGGAGTGAAGATGTACGCAATGTGCCCGCAAAGTGGATGACAGCCATGTATTTTGGCGGCCAGGCGGAGCAACTAAAGGTGAACCCTGCCTTTGGCATAGACCTGCCCCACTCCAGGTTCACTTTAGAGCTGTGGGTCAAGCCGGAGGGTGGCCAGAATAATCCTGCCATCATTGCAGGTGGGTGACTGCATTCATACATCATTCTCATTGTCCAAAATCATGTTTTCCATGTTGGAAGCAGGGATGCAGCTTTTTCTTAGGTTCTTAAAACTGGTTTTCTAGGAATTGGAATTGTCATTGGCTATTACTTAAAGCAGCAGTTATAACTTGAAGGATACATAATTTACAATTAGCAACTGTCTAATCAGAATAAATAGTGCTGAAAGGCATACAGCCATACAGACCAAAATGATTATAGAAAGTCAGATTCATTCCCCGAACTAGCCTCAGTTCATCAAGTGCATCAAATGGTGCGGCGGACTCTGTGTTGTGTCATGGCTTTGACACATTGTTGTTTTATTTAAGAGGCCTTTGTTTGAGGATTTCAGCTGACAAGCAGGTGAAAGAAGAATGGGGAAATCAGCTGCTTATGAGGTGCAAACAATGAGTAGTGCTAAGGGAGGACTGTTGGCCACTTGAGGAACAAGTGGCCACCACCTGCTCAATGTATCCTGTCTGCTTTATTTAATCACTTGTTTAGTGCATATGGCGCTTTGCGTTTCCAAGGTTTGATTCATAAGCTGCATGTTCTGGACACCGTACTCACACTGACAGCTAGCTGCCATCCAGCACAATTGTTTGATATATTTAAAAGATTTTCAAAGCAGAAACTAGGTGGTTTTTCGCATGCAAAGCTGATGTGTGAAATGTTGTCTGTTAATGCTTTCCAATTGTTTTGTGTGTGTGTATGTATATGTATGTATATATATATATATATATATATATATATATATATATATATGTATATGTGTGTGTGTGTGTGTGTGTGTGTGTGTGTATAGGAGCTTATTTTCCTCCAGCATGTTAGTTAGAGTTATCTTGTTGTATGGTTTTGACAGGCATCTGAGTTGACTTTTTCGAAGCACACATTATGATTACAAAAACAAACAAAATAAGCTGTGGAACATCACAGAAGGTGCCAGATCCCCCAAGGGAGCTTTCATAATCAGGTAAATGTGCATTTTTGTATGGCTGCTGAGGAGGGTCAATGTGGAAATGATTATATTTGGAAGCGCTTCTGAGACTAGTTCCCAGTAAGGAGAACAAAGCCCAGAGTTCTCTGGTTGTAACCTGCGCGAGGCTTTTCCTCTACCATGGATGCCAAAATACATGCTTTTAGGCGAAAGGGGGTGCAAATATTATTCATCTGTTTCTAACACCGATGAGTCATCTATCAGACCTCAAAGAGAGCATTAGATATTCCATTTTAAAATTATCCACCACTTGGAGAAAATCAGTATTCCCCAATGATGTCAAATCTCACAAACATCTTAAATAAATGATGGTTTCTACCATCTTGCTATTGTTAAGATTGTATTATTTCCCTTTGACATATTCGTCATCATCACTAAAATCATGTGAACATTCACTCCAGCTCTTTCTGAGGTCAATGGATTTCTTTTATCAATCAGTGGACGAATCTATTGTTGTAAAGCCAGTTTTTAAAAAATTCCTCACGCTGCCAAATGAGCGTTCAAAGGCTTTACTGGAAGTGATCTTTTCAGCGCTAACTATTAAGTGATACTGTTCGAAAACTTTCACTTTTTCTCTGTCTCTCATAAACACTTATCATATCGAAGCCATCAGTTATACAAGGTTACAAAGAAAGTATTTATTTAGCACACTTTGTCTCCAGTTAAACTCAGCACTCCAGGCCAGTCTGAGGTACTACTATTATGAGTTTTATTCAGTGGGAGACAGACACTATAAAAACAGTAAGATAAGAACTCAGGCTTTGAAAATGTAGTAGCATCCAAGTGGATAGTACTCTGGAATGGTTTATCTTCAAATTCATGACTGCAGGGCTGATACAAGCAGCAATTAGCAGATGTTGTCACACGCTGGAGCTCTGAACACACATCGGCAGGCTTTTCCAATGAATGAAATTTCAGTGTGGTCCACGTCCCTCAGGATATTTTGTTTAAAGCTGCCCATCTCTCGTTCTCCTGTTTGCAGGGAATAATGCACCTGAGTGTGTATGTGCTCGCATGTGCATGTGTTGTTGGGAGGGTGAAGGGGTTCCCTGACCTCTCTCTGTCCTTCGACGGTAACATCTGGCTGCCAGATGTGACTGCTCCTAAGAAAGGCGGCTGGGAATATCAGTGGATTTGTTGAATGGAAATGACTTAAACTCTTAAACTCTTCAAATAATTAAACACCAATTACTCTGTGCTTGCTGAAGCTCATTGACTCCTTCGTTTGTGTTTTTTTTCTAGGCATGTTTGACAACTGCTCGTATCCCTTGAGCGAAAAAGGTTGGTCTGTTGGGATTCGAGCAGCAGACCCTACAGGAAGAAAAGATGGCAGGTTTTTCTTCTCACTTCGCACGGATCGGGCGCTCAAATCCACCACTATCATCGCGCCCCAGCGCTACCAGCCCAACAGCTGGACTCATGTGGTGGCCAGTTATGACGGCCACAAGATGGCGCTGTACGTAGACAACTCCAAGGTTGGCGAGAGCAGAGAACAGTCGGGCGACTTATACAGTCCCTACATCAAGGCCTGTCGCCTGTTTTTGCTTGGCGGGGACCAGTCAGATCACGAACACAGTTTCCGCGGACATTTGGGAGGTGTTGCGCTATGGGGTTATGTGCGTACTCACGAAGAACTTCTTAAAGGTTACCAATCGCATGCAGAGAAACAAACTCTGATATTGTCCCAGTGGGCAGATTTCTCCAAGGTTGAGAATCAGTGGGCGCCCTACAAAGACCGTCACAACCTAGTCATTGTGGCTCTTCCTGTCCCCGAGCGGCAACTTGTTTCTCCATTTCTTCCGCCTCCATGTGGCGTGACCGTGTGTGACAATGCCGACTTCGCCCTCAGTTACAACCAGCACTGGCAACTGCGAGCCGAGAAGCGCCTACGCTACCGCATCGTGAACATCTGTAAGGATAACGGCAGCGACCCTACGGTCTCTCTCCAGCAGATCCAGCTCCAACACCAGGCCTTGGAAGACGCCTTCCGTCCTTACAACATCACCCTTGAGCTCAGCATTCACACCATCTACAACTCTTCCCTCCAACGGCGCTTCATCCTCAGCAACTGCCACATTGCCAAGGTGGGGAACCGCCACTGCGATCCCGAGTGCGACCATCCTCTTACGGGCCACGATGGGGGCGACTGCTTGCGCATGGGGCCCTGCTACAACTGGAAGCGGAGGGATGGAGTCTGCAACCCCGAGTGCAACAGCATTCACTATGATTATGATGATGGTGATTGCTGTGACCCCGAGGTCACAGATGTCGCAAAGACCTGCTTTGATCCAGAGTCTTCTCAGAGGTGAGCTTGTGCTTCAATATGGTTCCACTTTGGCAACTAACTTGAACCCAGGCATAATTTTAGTGGGATGTGCAAGAGGGTTCATGTTTTGGTCTTAATTCAAGAATTGCAAAGTCTTTCTAGCAAAAAAACCCTCAGGATGATATCTGACTGTCTGCTTGCTTCTATAGAAATTGATGCAGGTACCATAGTTAGATACCATGTCATTACATCAACTATGTACATTTATGTCCTTGGCAGATGTGTTCCTACAAAAACTGCTTGCATTAAAGCGCTAGGCCGACAAAATGATTGAAAGCGTTCCCTATCCCTCGCTTAAGATCACTATGAACTGGTTTTTGAGTTCAAGAAATTGACAAAAGTTATGTGCTTGTTAAAATTTCTCACAGCAGCATCAGGAAAAAGGAAACCAAAGTGTCTTATTGTGAAATAGTGTTCACTTTTTTCATTTTTATTTTCAAGATTATCAGAGCATTCTGTATTACTCAACATGCAAAGCATACAAATCGGCCTTCTGGAATAACTTTACAAAAGCATGCAAAACTTGGATGCAGAACTGAGCCAAAGTATACACTTAATGTGGCTAAACAACAAAACCAGAGGTCTCAACACTCTTCATTGTGAAAGGCAGGACAGTTTTGCTCCCGTACAAATTGTTTGATGGCTTACCGCAGTGTCTTTTATTTTTGTATGCTGCTATGTATGCTACGTAAGTAGATGTTCACAAAACCGTAAAATCCTGAAAATGTGATTACACCAAGTATTTTTATCAACAGGATTAATTTGCTGTATGTCAAATTTCCAGATGCAGTCTAGGAAGTGTTGTTCCAGGCTCAGTGTGCAACGAGACCTTGTGTCTCAGCCACCAGCTGTTGACATTTTATGGTTGCTTGAAAACAAGCTTTCTTCAAGAACCGCCTATCTGTTCCTGAAGGGCTCCTATAGAGATTAATAGGGCCTCAATGATACCATTGGATGGTGGTCTAAGAAACACTCTTTTGGTTGTTTTGCACTGAGACCCTTTTTAAGAGGACAACAGTTGATAGCCAAAATCCACAGGCAGAATATTTCTTTCTGTCCATGGCTGGTGGATAATAAATCAGTTGCACGCCATCTCAATGCTGTTTGCATCAAGGGGTTAAGGTTTGACTGATTAGCATGGCCCTGTCGCCCCTGGTGGAAGATGACGTAATTACACACTCTGCAGATCATTTGCCTTAATTTACAATAAATTACATTTGAAAATTAATTAAAATATAAAACAGTTCTTTAAAATTGTAATATTTATTCACAATATTACCATTTTTACTGTATTGTTGATCAGATAAAGTCTTGGTGAACGAGATTTGTCTCAAAAGCATTAAAATCATACCAACCCCAAACTTTTGAGCTGCAGTTTATATATCATCAACATTTCTTTGTTTGAAAGGCTCTTATAAGTGTGAAATGGATAATTCTCCTTTTCAAAGATCAGGATAGTCACTAAAGAGCTTGGGGCTTGTTCCAATCAGCTTTAGCATGATGTAAGTTTCCTGCGTTCCTGTGCCAGCCGAGCAACTGCCATTGAGATGAATGGGAATACTAAAAGATATAGCCTTCTTCAGGGAATTTCAGACCTCCTTATTTCTACTAAGGCCAACAGTTTGTAGTAGTGGTGACCTGGAGTAGCATACTGTCCTTGGCATGCTATACTCAAAAAACAATCCAAAGGTACTGAATAACCCAAAGGTTCATTTACTGGACTTGTTTTCCCCTAAATATGATGTGTCAATAAGTATAAATGCTAATAGCCAACGGGACCAGACTAACCTTGGGCTCATAGACTAAGCCCTTAGAGAGGTCTTTCCTTACCATGCTGGAAGAGTGTATCACTAAGGCTGAGGTCCAGAGTTTGCAGAGAATGAATGCAGGGATGACATTTTGATGGCAATTGTATAGCGTGCTTTTTATGTGGAGGTCTGGGATTTTAATGTTTTGCTCTGTGAGTTATAGCCCAGGTATCTGCTGCTGGGCAGTGAAGCTTGAGTACTTGCCAATGGCTGTCACTACGCAAATTTGTTGTTGAAGTAGAGAGAAACAGCACAAGGGAACCACCAGGTGCTTTTTGGCAAGCTCCAGAAATGGAACAAGAAGAAAGCAAAGACATTTTAGTCCAGACATTTAAGCCAATAGAACTGAACTACTTGATAACTCTTCTCTTTAGTAATTAACTTTGATAGATGCTTAGCAATTTCAGTGATTTATGATGTATTTATTTATTTATTCATTTTGCTGCGAGATAGTGGATCGGTGGTTTTGAATGTGACTGTTTTAATAAATAGTTTTCTTTTTTGTGCGTTATTCAAAAGGATTGTGTCCACCTGAAAGGTGAATTGTGTCGTTTTTTTTTATTTTTTTTAAAAACATTTATTGGATGACTTCGTGGAATTATGAATACCCAGAAAATGTGACCCTGGACCACAAAACCAGTCTTAAGTCGCTGGGGTATATTTGTAGCAATAGCCAAAAATACATTGTATGGGTCAAAATTAATCGATTTTCTTTTATGCCAAAAATCATTAGGATATTAAGTAAAGATCATGTTCCATGAAGATATTTTGTAAATTCCCTACCATAAATTAAAAACTTAATTTTTGATTAGTAATATGCATTGCTAAGAACTTAATTTGGACAGCTTTAAAGGCAATTTTCTCAATATTTAGATTTTTTTTCACCCTCAGATTCCAGATATTCAAATAGTTGTATCTCGGCCAAATATTGTCCTATGGAAATTTTATTTATTCAGCTTTCAGATGATGTATAAATCTCAATTTCAAAAATTGACCCTTATGACTGGTTTTGTGGTCCAGGGTCACGAATGTGCTTGTAAAACATTTCTTTGTTTGAGTTATCTGACATGTGGTGGACAATGTGGTGGACAATGGTGTAAGTTTAGGACAAGATGTACCTGTTTGTCTAAATAATGGAAGATGGAATCTATCTATCTATCTATCTATCTATCTATCTATCTATCTATCTATCTATCTATCTATCTATCTATCATCAGTGTGTTTGTTGATTATATTTTTTGACAAATTTTTTTGACAACGTTTTGACCTTGTAATGTCTGGAATCAATGAGTGCAAATCAAGATGGCAAATATTCAGATGTTACATTTTTGTAGCAGAACCCACATCCATCTCAGGATTTAACCATGTGCCAGTCAATCCCTGGTGCCTACCAACCCGAGTTTCCGTGATTGCTCTGATTAGAGGACTGTGCTGACAATTGAACATTTTCATTTGCTGTTGTTTTGTCATGTTGTATTTGTTCCCTGAATAAGCATTTTTGTGGCATCAGCTGGTTTGTGGTTAGTATTTGATTTCCTTGTTGGTAGCTTCGGAAACAATGGACAACATGTAATTTTTATTTTTGCTTATTTATTAGCCTATTATTATTACTATTATTGTTTTTTTTCATAATTTATTTGATTCATCTGTATGTATAAAAATATGTTCTTCCTCAAACATATTCAAAGATTGGACTGGTAAATACTGTCAGCACGCTCTGCAACAATTATTATAGTTGGGGTTGGAGAGAGTATTTGTTTATGTGTTGTATACTGTTCACTGAAGCCACTAGAAATGTTAATTGTTTTGGTCTCTTACTCTGTAAAATGTGATTTGTTGCTTAAAAGTAGAAAAGTTTGCAACCTAGTTGCATTAACTTGATTTAACATTTTTGGTAATGTTTAAACCAGTAAACCAGTTCACCCAAAAATGAATGAATGCCTTTCAAAAATGAATGAATTCTATCATCATTTACTCATCCCCAGGTTTTTCTAAACCTGTATGAATTTCTTCTGTTGAACATAAAAGAAGATATTTTAAAGAATTTTGGTAACTGGTCCCCAATGACTTCCATAGCATAGAAAAAATAGGGGGAGGACCAGAAACTGCTCGCGTACCCACATTTTTTAAAATATCTTATTTTGCGTTCAGCAGAATGTGAGGGTGAGTAAATGATGACAGAATGTTCATTTTTGAGTGAACTATCCCTTTAACTTGACCCATTTAATTTATCCAAAGCAACTTTGGACATTGCATTCTAAGTGAATTTGGTTTCCTTTTCTACACAGTTCACACTCACTTTCTGTAAGGAAAGCCAATTCTTTGAATTGATTTGTATGAATATTTTGTAAAATAAGACAGCAGAGGAAGTAGGCAGGATTGAATCGCGACACTCAAATATGTGTCCTTGTGAATTCACAGCTTATATTTGTCATGCCCATTGTACCATGACTCATGCCTTATACTTAGTCTTATACTTCATACAATGGCTCATGACGTATACTGTACTACTTTACCTCTTGTAATCATTTACCACTGTCTACTGTTGTCAACATTTATTATGGATTTGTTTAAATGGCACATTAATCCGATTCATTTTTCAAATCCGATTTTTAGGACTTACTGACCTTGTGGCCATATTGCAGTTAGTGAAATCAGATCTGGTCAGTGTATCTACATCAGTTGTGATGACTTAAGTGTCAGCAGCGAGATGCCAAGAGACATAAGAGAGGCATTTTGAGAAGAGAGGACAGAGATTAGAAAATGTTGCTCATGCACATGTCCATTGTGTTCAATATTTGGTCTAGCGGTCTCACAATATTCTGCATCTGATTGGCTTTACTTAATTGACAACAATTCACAATGTACAAAAACATCACCTGAAAGCTGAATAAATAAGCCTTCCATTGATATATGGTTTGTTAGGATAGGACAATATTTGGCCGAGATACAACTATTTGAATATCTGGAATCTGAGGGTGCAAAGAAAATCTAAATATTGAGAAAATTGCTTTTAAAGATGTCCGAATGAAGTCCGTAGCAATGCATATTACCAATTAAAAAATTAAGTTTTAATATATTTATGGTAGGAAATTTACAAAATATCTTAATGGAACATGATCTTTACTTAATATCCTAATGATTTTTGGCATAAAAGAAAAATCGATAATTTTGACCCATACAATGTATTTTTGGCTATTGCTACAAATATATCCCAGCGACTTAAGACTGGTTTTGTGGTCCAGGGTCACAAATTGTCAAATCATTTAAATTATATTGCTCAATTAGCCCTAGGAGAGATTTAGGCAACACTCAAGAAGCACTCAAGAAGATTGGCTAAGCCTTTGCTTGTTTAATAAAAAACGATGTAAGAAGTACGATACTTGGTTTATTCTCACATGGAACGGTTCCAAGAAACAGTAGGTGGTTCAGCTAATAGGCTTGACCCTTCGGCACGATCCAAAGGGCATTAAGAACCGGACCTCTTCAAACCAACAGCTCAATGATATGAGATGCAAATATGGAAAGCCGTTTTAACATTTAATCTATAAGCCGTACTAGTAGGTATCTATTTTCATGCTACTAGTGCTTATTTTTTAGATACTAGTATCTTTTCCTTTAAGTAGGCAACACTCAAGAAGCACTCAAGAAGATTGGCTAAGCCTTTGCTTGTTTAATAAAAAACGATGTAAGAAGTACGATACTTGGTTTATTCTCACATGGAACGGTTCCAAGAAACAGTAGGTGGTTCAGCTAATAGGCTTGACCCTTCGGCACGATCCAAAGGGCATTAAGAACCGGACCTCTTCAAACCAACAGCTCAATGATATGAGATGCAAATATGGAAAGCCGTTTTAACATTTAATCTATAAGCCGTACTAGTAGGTATCTATTTTCATGCTACTAGTGCCTATTTTTTAGATACTAGTATCTTTTCCATTAAGTACTAGTACTTATTCATTAGCTACTAGTGCTTATTCTTTAGCTACTAGCGCTTATTCTTTAGGTACTAGTGTTTATTCTTTAAGTACTAGTGCCTTTTGTAAAGATACTAGTACTTATTCATTTGATAATAGTTCTTATTTATTAGATACTAGCATTTAATTATACTCTTCTTGATAAGAAAAAATAGAACTAGTACCTATTTTTTAGTTACTAGTAACCTTTTAGACCAAAGATATCCTGAACTTAATAGATACTAGTATTTTTTAAATTTGCATTTGCAAATTTGCAGTATGGTAATCGTATGTTGAATATTAATGAGCCAGCAGCATATAGGAGAGAGATTAGACAGGAAACGAAAACAAGGAGACAGATGCACTTTTTTTTTGAAGGAACCACATAGAAAAAAACAATCATTTGTACACAAGGACATAGAAAACGTATTTTTGTCAGTTTTGTAAACACTGTAATTTCGTAAACATAGTAGCCTAATGTGTTTGTTGGTTGAGTGACCTCTGGTGGCAGGATGGAGATAAGACACAAATTTTAATATATATTATTTTCCTCTTTTTCCTCTAGTAAAAACAATAAATATCATATCAGGGCTGTACGTTAACTTTTTTTGCATAGCACTGGTGCTACAGACATATAATGTTTTTACATTAATGTTCTGTACAGGGCACACAAAATCCAAACCTTATGGTTTTCAGACAAACATTTATTTGGAAAAAGGCCAAAAATTATTAATTAAAAAAACAAACAAAAACAAAAAAAAACAGGTTTGCTGTTCTTGTAAGGCTGCACAATTTGGCCAAAAATGTTGTTTTTACCAATATAACTAATAATGATTATGGTTATTATTTCTAAATAAAACATTAAACAAAATAAGGAATATTACTTTTGTAATAACACTATTTCACTATAATATACAAAACTGTGTATTTAATAATACATATAATAATAAATATTGCTGCAAGAAAAATAAAAAAAATGTACACTTCTCTACACTGGAGAAAAACATAAGGATTTGCAAAAGTTTACCTCAAAGTTCTTAATTATTTTTGCTATTTTTACCCAAATTAGGGTTTTGTGAGCAATACTGAGTACTCAGTTGTAATTTCTTTTTCATTCATACTCGTTGCCAGAGGGCGCCCTTGCGCAGAAACTCCACAAGTGAGGCTCACTGATGACATTCCGGGAAATCCCTTATAGGGACAAAGACATTCAGCTTTCCCTGTAGATGTAGCCTAATAGCTGAATAACATGCAGATAGGGCATTTTACTGATAAAGCATTAAGAAAATAAATAATGATTGCGACTTTGTTCTTCAAGCCATCTTGGGTATTTTTATAAGAATTGTGAACAATAATGACTACTCAATTAATGTAATTTCTTTTTCATTCATATTCGTCGCCGGAGGGCGCCCTCGCGCAGAAACTCCACAAGTGAGACTCACTGATGACGTTCCAGGAAATTCCGCTTTCGCTGTAGATGTAGCCTAGTAGCTGAATAACATGCAGATAGACGTTTTACTGATGAAACATGAAGAAAATAAACAATGACTGCGACAATATATGGTTTTATCTGTGTTCAAGCCATCTTGGGTATTTTTATAAGAATAAAGTATATTTAAAATGCAATAAATTGCAAAAAATTTAAAATTTGTTACTAGTAGCAATATAATAATTACTAGTCACTATTGAAATAAGTACTGTTATCTAAGGAATAAATACTAGTATCTAATAAATACGTACTAGTATCTAATAATAAGTACTAGTATTTAATCAATAAGTACTAGTATCTAATGAATAAGTACTAGTATCTGATAAATAAGCACTAGTATCTAATGAAAATGTACTAGTATCTAATGATTAAGTACTAGTATCTAATGAATAAGTACTAGTAACTTTACAAAAGACACTAGTACCTAAGGAATAAGCACTAGTACCTAAATAATAAGCACTAGTAGTTCATGAATAAGTACTAGTACTTAATGGAATACATACTAGTATCTAAAAAATAAGTACTAGTAACATTAAATTAGATACTAGTGCGGTTTATAGATTAAATGTTAAAACGGCTTGCCATAGTGAAAAGGCTTAAGCAGCTATGAAAGCAAAAGAGAAAAATGTCATGTGACATATTCCAAAGTAAAAATAAGTTAACATCACACATCAAAGCGCCTCTATGGCGATTTATCACAGCTGGGAGTAGAATAAAAAAGCGGGTAGTCGTTTCATGCGCCATAAGCAGTTCAAACAATTATAATCCCTAATCATCATGACATAAAGTGATTTTTTATGACTGTTGTTATTAAAACTGCTAATAAAATTCAAGATGCAAATAAAAAAAAAATGTAATTTTTGTAATAATGTATGTAATCATGTAATACCATGGAGTAATTTTTATGTTATTTCTCTTACAAATTCCATTTGCTTACTTCTGATGGCATGAACTAAACTATTTAAACCCTTGTTGTTTTAAACTGGTAATTCAGTAAAATTTGAAATTGTAATTCCCTTCTAAATCTTGAATAAACTAAATCCATCAAGGAAAAATGTAATAACCTGTATGTTGTTCATTGATGTTTATGGCAGTTCCCTTAATAATAACTTGTTTTCTATGCAAAGTTTCTTGACTGTGTGTCAATATCTCTGATGCAGGGCTTATCTGAGCGTGAAGGAACTGAAGGAGCTGCTCCATCTGAGCAGTTCAGACACTCTCAACGTGTTCTTCGCTAATAATTCGGCACGCGAGGAGCTTGCTGGGGTTGCCACCTGGCCATGGGCAAAAGAAGCTCTTACTCATCAAGGTAAGATGGATCACAAGAGCTCATGAACATGATGAAGTGAACAACCCAAGTCCAGTTTTATTAGAAGTGAGGTTATGTGAAAGTGAAGGGACAAACAAGCCAAACAATGAAGTGAATTTGAAAACTTAATGATGGCTTATGAAATGATTTGACTACACGAGATAAGACTATTCTGTAACTATAAATATTCAATACTATAAATCTGAAATATTTCATCACCTTAAAGCGGATGTTTTATTGCTTTTTTTTAAATGCTCTTAAAAGCATGAAATGGATTTATGTTTTCCTCTACATTTGACGTCACAGCTCAGTATTGTCAATAGTGAACGGGTTGGGGCTGTGTGCATTTTTGGAAGGGATAAAAAAAACAGGCAAGATAACATGAGAACAGAACTTTAAAACAAAAGACAACATAATATTTCAAAATAAAAGACCGGGGACTTTACACAAAAACCGTTACGCTAGATCTGCCTCTTGGCCTCTAAACCCAACTGGGTTCATTCTACCATGGACAATGTCAAGTTAAGAACTCAGTTGTTTCCTGTCACTACATTCCCCACAGCACATGTGTTTATTTGTACCTAATGCCATACATCTTCTTGTTCATGACCGATCGCCTTAAATCTTTTCTTTAAAGAAACACATTCTTGTCTCTTCCTCCTTGTTGTGTGTATTTTGCCTTTACAAGATTAATGGGCCGTAATCTCAAGCATAAAAGAAAACACTTGCAGCACTCATAGATTTCCCTGTAGATTGCCCCTTAATCATTAAGGTCGTCCACCAGGAGAGAAGAAAAGGAACTCGACAACAACCAAACAAAAACAAAAGAAGGGTATTACGCTGTTGCCATCTCCATCCAACTGCCAGCTGATTTTATAGTACTCGTCGTTGCTGTGTTTTAGAGCTCATTAAAGCGGTCTCAGTTAAATCCAGCTCCTTTAAAAAGGAGATTTCTCTCAAGCAGGAAGGTTTCTTATGTAAGTCCCCCTCCCATTGGTTCAGGATGCATGATCAGACATTGTGGTCTTGGCTTTTTGGGTTATAGCTTTTGTTAATGGGATCATTTTGGCCTGTGCGTAGAACGTGAACTTTTAAACCGATATTAGCATGAGTAATTATCACCAACTTGCTTTTGTGAGCTTAAATTTGCTCATGAGTTTTCATGAATTAACATACAGTCTGTTTCTAATGTGTACATGGTAACACTTTGCATTCATTTTTAATTTGTTAACATTTAGTGCATTTATTAGGTACAAACAATTTTACAGCATTTATTAATCTAGAGTATTTCTAATTTCTTAATATACAGTTGTTCATTTTTATTTTTTTTTATTCGGATTTTAATTTATACAACTTGTAAATGTTAAAAATGCATTAGTATGCATAGAAATGAACATAAACCTAAATAAAAAATGTGCATAAACTACGATGGAATCACATTTACCAAATAAATTCCACCATGCGCATCAAAAAAGTCATGTGACTTTGCACAATGGGATGGGATAACTTGACTAACCAGCAGACCGATCTCGTTGCACAGCATCTGGAATGTTGTTTTGGTCGTTCTGAAATCATATATTAAAATTATTATATTAAGTGGCTTCTCCTACTTTTCTTAGTGATATTTAGTGCCAGTTTATCAGGACGTGACGATTTCGTTCTCTTTGACTCGTTGGAGACACTGTCTAAAGCACTAAACAGTGCTTTATTTGCAAATGTTTTATGCGATATTCCAATTTTGCACATAAGTTAAATTTGAATCTTTGGTTGGAAACATAGCTATTATCACAAAATAATATCCTGATGACCCTGCTATGTTTTATTTTGCTCTCAATTGTCCTGTAAATGATCTGAGCGGAGAGGTGGTCTGAGACATGAAAGGTAACATGAAATTCATGAATGACTTACCGTGCTGCTTTGAATCACACAGAGATATGGCCCCTTTCTTATTTTCACAGAGATATGGCTCCATTCTTATTATGCCCATAATCCACCTCTGCTTTTGATTTACCGTCATGTCATAACAGTCTTTGGTGCAAGACAATTTTTGTCCACAAATGTTTCGCTGGACCTGCATGGAGGTTAAAAAGCAAGATTAGTTTCTCATAAATTAGGAGACTTGGTATGGTTTATGGTTTAATTTCATATAAATCACGAGCTTATTTGCGAGAGTACCTTGATGTCTTATACTGAGGAACAAGGTCAAACTACTGCTCTGAATGCTTTAAGTGAAATCAGACCATAGCGTGGACTGCTGATCTTGTGGTATAACTGTAAACGATCTGTGTCTGTCAGATGTGTCTAGCCAAGCTCTGTCCCTTTGGCTGAACTCCCATAAAACATGGATATTTCCTAAATAAAAAGGTTGTTTGCTCAAATCTTGTATATCCGCTGTAAATGGCCTGTCTGGGGTGGAGCACAAATCTCCAGTCCAGAAGTGAAAGATTTTCGCAGATGCCCACATAAACCAACTTCTGTTTTTAATAAGTAAACAAATTCCGTTTTTGCTTTAAAACCTAATAGCTTATATAAACTACAAGTTCAATATAACCAAAATTATGCAAACTAGTCTCACAATGTCATTTCATATTTGTTCTTAAACAACATCTGCATGGATTTTAAACTGTTATAAATGTCACATTGTTTTAAGATTTTTATTACATTATTTGGATATAAAACCACATGCCAGTTTTCAGCAGGTGTGGGATCTTAAATACATTTTAATGTTCTAAATGTGGGTAGAACATTAGACAACACTGATAACCAGACATACTGTTCTTTCTCGTAATCCTAGCTGCGGTGGTCCCATTTTACAGGATAGATCACACTGTTTTATGTGGCAATATTTCAGAATAAATCAGTTTCATATACTCAGACTTCTGGCTTTGAGATTAAAGTTAACTTGAACATTTACACCTCAGTGTTCTCTCAGGTGAAAGTTTGTATTGTTGCATCAACTGCAGAGATGTCTCTTTGTGTTATTTTTCAGGCGGAATGATTCTTAACCCCTCCTACTTTGGCACCAAAGGACACAACAACACCATGATCCATGAGATGGGTCATATTTTGGGACTGTACAGTAAAGTTCAAAATAAATATATAAACAGCTTTGTGCTCAGCCAAAACGATATGACCAGGAACAAATAATAGATTCATTAGACCACGAATACCTGTTAAATATACCCAAAACAAATTGTATTTCATGTTTAATCACTACAGAGACATCAGAGCCAGCGGCAAATGTCGGAAGGACTAGCTGAGCTAAGGCTGCTCTAGGGACTAGGCGGATACATGAGCACTGTGCGCCCGGTGATCGCCTGGAGCTCAGAAATCGGCATAGCAAATTTTCAAATAGACACTATCTTTATAAATAAACCACAGATTTGAGTTTTAAATAACTACATTCTCGCCTGAAAAACTCTTAAAGCTACATTTCATGACACAGTGACAGTAATATTTTGAAAATTGCGCGGGTTTTTGGGCAATGACGTTTCACAAGTCCACAAGAACAGACAAGAACGCATATTGAGAAACGGCTATTGACTGTGTGAAAATATAAAATTCTAAAATACACTGTATATTTTTTAGTGTTTGCGCACTCTGATGTAAATAAGCCCAACACTCATGGACAGCAGAGCGGAAC